CGCTCCTGCCGCCTGGAGAGAGGACGACTGTATGGTTCCGCGGGCTGGGGCAGGGCCGCAAACCGCACCTCGGGCTCGCCGCGCCCCGCACGCGAGATGCGGGCAGGGCTGCGCGCGGGCGGGGCGGGGCCTGCGGAGGGGGCGGGGCTCGGGGAGGTGGGTCCGGGCCTGGCGAGGGGCGATGCGCTCGGACAGGGCTGGGAGCTGGGGCGGCTGGAGGCCCGGCGCGTGGCGGGGGCCCCGGGAGTGGCGATCCTGGGGGCGCGGGTTCTGGAGGGGTTCCTGAGGAACTGGCTTCGGAGCGTGCTCGCCAGGCAAGAGGTTCCGTGGAGGCGGCATGGAGAGTGCGTGGAGGCCCCGCGCCCGGCGGGTCGCTGGGCGCAGACGGGGTCGGGCGGGGGCGCCCCTAGGGATCCCAGTAGTTCTCGTGGTGCTGCGCGGCGATGATGATGACGACAGTGAGGATGGTACAGAGCACCATGGCCGCGATGCCCACGGCCAGGGAGATGAAGGAGAAGTTCCGGGCCTCGCGCGACGCGATCTCGGCCGACACCATGTCGCCACGAGCCAGGGCTGTGCGCACCTGCGGCGGGGTCGGGCGGGGGTCAGGGCCACGGTAGCTCCTCCTCCCGTCACCGCGCCGAGCGCCGGCGCCGTCTGCCCCCGCCGCGGCCCCCAGCCCACCTGCACCGCCTTGAAGATGGCGATGATGCCCGTGGGCCAGAAGCAGCAGATGGTGGTCAGCACTGCGATGGGCATGTAGTCGTGGGGCGGGCGCCTCGGTTCCAGCAACGCCAGTCCCGGGCCCTGGGGCGGCGGGGACAGAGTGGAGGCCACTCCGGTGCCCCCCGCGGTGCCGCCCGCGTAGGGCTGGAAAGGAAAGCTGGGGGTAGGGACCTCACCCCGACGCCAGGCTCTCCAGCCGCGGCTCAGGCAGGGCGGTGTGCACAGCGTGATTCTTGGCCGTTGCGTGTCACAGGAACCAATTACCCAACACTCTTCCGGCCACCAGCGACTGTCTGGGGCCCTCTCCTCCCCGTGGGCCAACGGTCTTGGAGGTGTCCACAGGGCACAGCCACCTGCGCCGTCCTGGGCTCGCCTCAGACCCCGACCAGTCGCGTCCCCAGGGTCCTTTTTCCCCCTCTCCGCCCTCCACCCCGTTTTTGATCACCTCTGGGCCTGTTCGTGCCCTCCCTTAGTCCTGACCTCTGACCTCCGTACGCCCCAGGCCCCCACCCCCTTCCCAGGGTTCTTTCTAGGCGTTTCTCTCAGCCTTCCCCGCCGGGGCTCGCTGGTCCCGGGACACCGCCAAGTCCCCTGGACCAAAATCCCCCGGCCTTCGCCCCGCACTCACCGTGCCCACTGGGTAGACCGGCACGTAGGCTGTGCAGGGCTGCAGCTGCAGGGGGTAGCCGGGCGCCACGTAGCCCCCCAGCGGCAGCGTGCCCACCGCCCCCCCGTGCGTGGGCACCACGA